CACAAAAAACAAAAATAGAAATGCCATACGATCCAGCAATCCCATTTCTGGGTATATATCTAAGGGAAATGAAATCAGGATCCCAAAGAGATATTTGCACTGCCATGAACACTGCAGCATTGTTTATGAGAGCCAAGATGTGGAAACAACCCCAGTGCCCACAGAAAGAAGGATGGGTAAGGAAGATGGACTATTACTCAGGTATGAGAAAGAAGGAAACTCTGCCTTTTACAATAACGTGGACGAACCTGGAGGACATCATGCTAAGTGAAATAAGCCAGACAGGGAAAGGCAAATACTGCATTTTTTCACTTATATGTGGAATCTAAAAAAGTAAAGAAAAAAGATGAACTTATTGAAACAGAGGGTAAAAGGATGGTTACCAGGGACTGAGGGACTGGAGGAAATGGGGAGATTCTGGTCAAAAAGTACAAAGTTGCAATTATGTAGGATAAGACTAGAGAGCTAATGTATAGGCATGAAGACACTACTTAATAATACTGTATTGAACACTGGAAATATGCTTAGATAGTAGATTTCAGGTAAACTAATCATACCAAAAAAAGTTTGTGAGATGATATGTTAATTAGTTGATGGTAGCAACATTTCACCATATATATATATCAAACCATCATGCTGTACACCTTAAGTACATATAATTTTTAAATACTTTTCATTTATTTATTTATTTATTTATTTTTAAAGATTTTATTTATTTATTTGACAGAGAGAGCACAAGCAGGGAGAGCAGGAGAGGGAGAAGCAGGCTCCCCACTGGAGAACCCAATGTGGGACTCAATCCCATGACCCTGGGATCATGACCCGAGCCGAAGGCAGAAGCTTAACCGACTGAGCCACCCAAGTGCTCTAAATACTTTTTAAAAAGGAAAAAAAAATTAATGTAATAGGAATCCTAACTCAAATGAGATCTAAATTATAGGTGATAATGCAATATCATAAAATCATTAAGTCTCCTACAAATTATTCTACAAATTTAGTAAAAAATCAGTCAAAATCCAAGAAGTATTTGTTGTGGAACTTGATTCCAAAAAAAATCTACATGAAAGAGTGAAAATGTAGGACATTGGAAAACCTGTTAAAATAAAAAACAAAGATATAAAGATGTATCATAATATTTCAAAAATAATATTAATGTGTTAATGATGCTACAAAATACCAAGAAATTAGGTAGAATTTTCTGGATTGCAAGTTGGAAATTATTAGCGGTCAGGAAGTCAAGTTAATAGTTATCACCAAATTTGTTTTTTTAAAGGATTGAAAAAGAAGAAACTACCAGTGTAACACACCTGTGAGGCGTGGGTGTTGCTTAACGAACATTTGTTTATTGTGCGTATGTGTTTCCCCATGTGTGTGCATGGGTGGTAAATCAGGTTACAAGGTAAATTTCTTATTTTGCCCAACTCTATAGAATGTTTGAAAAACACTGAAACAATAAAGGAACAGAATAGCACATAGGAATTTGGAATATGATTAGGGTGATATTTCAAAACTGTAGGAAAAAGGAGAACTATTCAGTAGAGGGTGTTGAGACCTTGGCTCTCTATATAAAAATAATTTAATAAAGTTAGTGACCTTTCACACACAGTACATAAAACTGCATTTCAAAAGGATTAAAAACTGAAGGGTAAAAAACTATGAAAATACTTCTGTAAAAATGATAGGAGAAAACAAAACAATGAAACTTCTTCACAATAAAAAACACAATGTAAATGTTTAAAGACAACTAGGAGACAATATTTACAATTTCAATAGAAAGTATAAATTAGTATTTAAAATGTATAGCTGTCTCACATCAGTTTAAAAGTATATAAACACAACAGGAAAATGGATATGGGATATTAACAGACACAGACACAGACACACACACACACACACACACACATATATAAGTATGTCCAATTCCAAAACACAAATTAAAACAACAGTGATACAGCTTTTAGCACTCATGCTGGCAAAGATGAAAGAGTTTAATAATATCAGGTGGTGCTGGTCAGGAACTAAGGAGGATGACAGTCAAATATGAGGGTGAGGGAAAAGGCAAACTGTTACTTTGGAGGGCAATTTGCAAGTATGTATTAAAATTAAAAGGCAGGCGCCTGGGTGGCTCAGTGGTTGGGCATCTGCCTTCTGCTCAGGTCATGGTCCTAGGGTCCTGGAATCGAGCCCCACATTGGGCTCCCTGCTCTGCAGGAGGCTTGCTTCTTCCTCTCCCACTCCCCCCGCTTGTGTTCCCTCTCTTGCTGTGTCTCTCTCTGTCAAATAAATAAATAAAATCTTTTAAAAAATAAAATAAATAAAATGCACATAACTTCTAATTCAGCAATTCAACCCTGTGGCATTTATCTCCTAAAGGAACACACACAGTCATTCCCAGAGAGAGATACGTAGAAAGAAGTGTTCATTATTGAAGGTTTACAACAGAAAAAAATTTAAACAAACTAGGGTCCATTTAGAGGAAAATGTCTAAGAAAACTGGTATGTTTAACTGTGCACACAAGTAAAAGAAATAAGGTATGTCCATGTAATATGGCTAGATCTCAAGAATTAACACTGATTGACAATAAAAAATATTCAAAACAATACATATGGGTTTAAACCACTAATATTAAAGAATACAAAACAATGTTACATAGTACTGTATGAACAGAGGTTACCCCTGGAAAGAGTTCAGCTGAGACAGAAGTAGGGAGTGATCAAAAGGGTTTTGACTTCCTCAGACAAATTGAGTTTTTATCCCCAGAAATTCTGTTTGGCTATTTTTCAAGCATGTTTTATCTTTTTTTTTTTTTTTTGATAGCATAATATTCTTTTCTCTTTTAGTATTTCTTTTATAACTCCACCTACTATTTCTGTAATCTGAAGTTCTGGACAATCCAATCCTACCGTTCCTTAGTTAACTCTCAGTCTTGGGGTCTACATCATTGTATTTTATATTTGGGAGCCAGTCCTCAGTCCAGATTCCATAGCCAGAGCAGGCAATGTGTCCTTCCATAAATGTTTTTCATTCATTCACTTTCCTGCAGAACCAGGGTCATGTTTGTGTTCTTTCTCAGCTCGCAGGCTCCTGTATAATGCAGGTACCGTAAATTTGCAATCTAAATGTCATTGAGGGCAGGCCTTTGACTTCGAGTACTCAGGGGAGTCTTTGCATTCGATTCAGAACAAGGCTAAAACCAGGAAGCCAACTGCTCATGGCCTTGTGTTGATCTACTGCTGTTGCCCATCCCTCCCCTCCTCCCAGGTAGAGCCTTTTTCACAGTCTTTATATAGCCTTCTGTGGGTTTTCAGTTTCAGTTTTCTGGAAAGATCAGCTTTCTGGGAATTTTGAGTTCCTGTTCCCCTCCTCATCTAGATTCAAGGCCTTGTTCTTAGATCTGTGGCTCTTTGAACTCAAATGCCCTGTCGACAAACACAAGGAACACTAACATGACTTCAATTTGTATAGGCGTGATGCCTGGTCACCCAGTCTTGGTCAGCAGAAATTGTCTTTATTTTTTGTATTTAGCTAAATATTTAAAAGAATGTTTGCAATATTTTAAATTTTCTAGGTTTTCAGATTCTCTAACTTACTATATATTACTACAAATAAAATGTTTCAATATTTTTAAAGATCAACTCACTTTTACTTATAAATTAAAAATGCTAAATACATATCAAAGAAACAAAAATAGTATTTCTCTGTATGTGCCTTATAGAAGATGAAGATTTTGACTTAATTCTTAAAGATTGGGAAGATTTTGAACATAAGCAGCAGACAAGGGAAGGAATGGGATTATAACCGATCTGGTTCCCTATCCCACATCCCACTTACGCTAGGAGGTCCCATGACCTGTTACTTAGCACCATCATCTAACTTTTTGGTGAGATTCAATGTTAACAACCCCCTTTTTTTTTTTTTTTGAGAGAGAGAGAGAGTGTGCACGCATGAACAGGAGAGCAGAGGGAGAGGGAAAGAGACAATCTTAAGCAGGCTCCATTCCCAGCACAGAGCTTGACGCGGAGCTTGATCTCACAGGGACAACATAGAAATATATGCAATTCAAGTAAACAATAATACGACAACATGAAAACATTCCATTCATAAAGGAGGTTAAAAATCCTAGTGACAGCAATAAGAAGAAAGCCTATGGTTCCTAGTAAGCATAAATATATCTTCAGATTTAACTTCTGTATTTCAGAAAGACAGTTCCTAAGACCAAACTTTTTGATGGGAAGGCAACCAGAACAACCTACATGGAAATGCAAACCATGTTGACCACAGCTTGGAAATCCAGTCTTTCAAAAGGAATGTCAAATCTTTTCTTTTGTAAAATAAAAACAACCCAGACTTATCTAAGAAGAGATTTTATTCAAAAAGCCTATTGCAATAAGGAAGATTCTCCAAGGATCCGTCTGCAAGCATCTCAACATCGAACAGAAACGCTTTCCTCTTATAGAGAGGGGTAAGCAGGCTAGCAGGAACTTTTCAGAGGAAATGGGATAAACTAGTGGAGGGAAGCAGGATGCATGATCAGCCTGTGGTCAAGCGTTAGTGCTTGCTCAGACTTGGGGCAAAACAAAGTTCAGGGGCCTGGGAGGAAGAAAAAATGACTAATGTTTGATCAAGCTAAGGCAGAAGGTAACTACCAGACAACTCTGAACACTTGGTCTCTTCATAACAGCAAGAATACTGGTTTTAATAGTATTACAATAAAAGAGTAGTTAGGAGTTAAACCCTCCAAACAGGTTAAGTAAATAACCAACTAAAAAGTCCACTTTTTTTCTCTCTTCCTGGACACCTAACCCTTTCTTCCCCAGGGTCCCTCCTGGGTAAAGTAAGGGGTATGTTGCTGCCAACATGACCCAGACAGTCAAAGGATTTGCAAACTTATGTTCTCATATGGATCTCTCTTCAAGAAAAATTTCATCTGACAGAGGAAATCAATAACTAGAACATGAAAACATGGCTTCAAAAATTATTTGAAAGGCAACACATTTACCAGTCAGTGTTATGTTATGACTCTCCAAGGGAAGGTTAGAATATTTTGTCATCATTTCTTCTTGGATGGGTAGAGTCGTAAGAGGTGAAGCTGTAAGAAAAAGAAAATGTGATTGCATATTATTATCAAGATGAAATGACAAGCTAGTTTGAAGCAGCTAAAATGCTATATTGTATACGATTAATGAAAAATAAATTAAAAAAATAACATATGAGTGTTGTAAGTGCTTTTTAAAAAAGTTTTATTTATTTATTTATTTGACAGAGAGAGAGAGCATGAACAGAGGGAGAGGCAGAGGGAAAGGGAGAAGCAGACTCCCTGCTGAGCAGGGAGCCCTACTCAGGGCTTGATCCCAGGACCCCGGGATCACGACCTGAGCTGAAGGCAGATGCTTAACTGACTGAGCCACCAAGGCGCCCTGTAATTACTTTTTACAATCAAGAATAAACTCCAAATATCGGAATAGAGACTGAGAACAAACAGGAGTTGTACAAAATCATAAAAAAATTGTTCTACCAAAAAAGGGCAGTGCAAACATTCCTTCAGTATCAGATGGGAGATAGGGGAAGCATACCTTTCATTCATATGAGAAAGAGAGAAACAGTTCTTAAGATTAAAGGACAGTTAAAGACTGGACAAGTAACTGGATAAAACATGTTACTGACTCAGTAAATGCATCTACAATATTTTAAATTCTACTTATACCTATAACATTGTTCCTAAAATAGACAACTATTCTTACTCATTTAAAAAACCTGAGATTACTTTTGAACCAGTGGAATCCAAAACTGTGAAAAAGAAAGCCGAGCTGAGCTTCAGTGCAGAATGCTTTACTTATTTTTCCATAGCACTGTCATCGACTCATGTGATAGCATCTTTAATTTCCCTGCCTAACGGTCTTCCAGTGGATATACGAATTCCCCCTTCAATGCAGAGAGATTTGAATGGATGCACCAGCAAGAACAGATGAAAACATAAGAGTCTCTGCCAATTGAAATGAACCTTCCCTTCTTCTCAGGTGTCCTTCTTCTAGAGAGTCCTTAGGTTTCCCACGTCTGACCAGCCGCCCCCTCCCAGCACACAGAGCACACTGCCTTCATTGCGGTAGACTCCCACATCCGATGTTCTAATTGTATGAGGTACTGGCATGTTTCTCCCACCAGACCATGAGCAAGGATTAATAATTTATGAGGGAAAATGCAATGGCTTGCTTAAAAATAAAAACTTTTGGGGGCACTGTATTATTTGAAAGGCAACACATTTACCAGTCAGTGATATGTTATGACTCCCCAAGGAAAGGTTAGAATATTTTGTCATCATTTCTTCTTGGATGGGTAGACTTGTAAGAGGTGAAGCTGTAAGAAAAAGAAAATGTGATTGCATATTATTATCAAGATGAAATGACTACAAGCTAGTTTGTAGCAGCTGAAATGCTATATTGTATACTATTTGTGAAAAATAAGTTTTCAGGAAGCTCTGAGGAGCTAGATCTCATACATTCACAGATATTCAGACATATATTGGGCTATTAAATGCGACCACATTTCCAACTTTTTCTGTGTTCTTTTCTTTACTGAAAAATCCCTGATTTACATCAAGTGGCTTAAAAAAATTATTTTGTTATCCTACCATTTGTAGTTTCTTTATAAAACATAGATGAAGACACTGAAGAATTAAATAAGAGTGCCAGGAAAAAGACAGACATGAAGAGGCAGAAAAAAGATGAGTGAACCAAGAGAGACAGAGAGACCATAATAAAGGGCATAAAATGAGGAGAGAGAAGAGAAAATGGCTGTACAGTGAGAGTTTCTGCTGTTTTCCAGCTACAGTTACAGACTGGGTCACCCTCTACCAAACTGACTTGTGGTTCTCCTCTGTCATCTCTCTCATCTTTTCAAAACCTTTACTGAAAAAAAAAAAAAGTTTCTATTTCCTCCCTCCTTCTCTCCTCAAAGCTGCTGCTGCTGCTGCTGCTTTTTTTTTCTTTTTGTACACTGGCTACTGTTCTTTGACTGTGGGGTACCAGAACCTACTTCCCATAAAAACCACCCCAACTCTATCAAATAAGTCAGAAAAGGGGAAAAGGCTTATGACTGCAGTCTTGGCTGCATTCTTAAAACTTCTCATTCTCATTCAGTTAAATTAAACCTGAGCCTTTTTTATTTCACTTTCTTAATACTCTGCTCAGAAACTTACTCCTAGTCCAAAATTAGATTTCCAGTTCTTTTCTTGTGTGTATGAAAAATATTATCAAAGTTAGTGATCACCTTTGTTGCCTCAGCTTATGCAAAGCTTTTACAATATTGCCTAATAAAAATATCTACCTAGCAGAACCTCGCTCTCCAGTAAGCTGTGTTCCAAAGGCTTGATCACTTCTAAAGCAGCTTTGGAAGGTGGAGGGCACTTTCTCATAAAGTAATCCTTTAATGAATTTAATATGTAAATCACTGCACCCTCTGACAGTGATTACACAGGAAAATATGCCCTGAGTTTCTCACTGGGCTATCAAGAATACAAAACATTTCTTCCACTCACATCTAATATTCATTCATTCATATTCTTTCTCTCTCCATCTCTCCCTGTCTCTGTCTCTCTCTCTCTCTCTCACACACACACACACATACATATACACACAGCCAAAAAGGTTCCTATCAACATTCTTTTTCTAATGAAAAAAATTGTTTTTCCATTCTTGGGCATAGCTCACTTAGAAGTTGTATTTAAGAGGAACTATCTCAGGAAGATGAAAGCAGATGCTATTGACTTACGGATAGGAAGCCAGGAGGGTGCGGACGGGAAGGAATGAACTGTTCTATATCATCCGTTCTGTGAAACTTGCAAAACATAAGCTTTGATATCTTTGTTTCTTGCTAAGGAGTTCTCTTTTCTTGGCCTAGCCTCCTGCAGAGCTGAATATAATTGTAAGGGTTCTCATCACACCCTTTTCCCCTAAAACAAGCCCATAATCCTTCAAGATGGTCTAATATCATTTATTCATATTAGTAGTAGTAGTATTCACACTACCATCAGCAATAAGAAAGTGACATAAGCTGAAAAAAGGTGCTTTATTCCTTCTTCTTATTTTATTTAAATAAGTGAATATAGAGAGAGCATCTGATACATGCTTGATGCTGGTAAGTAGTATGAAGCTGAGTAACCTTGGTCCCTACAGGGCCACATGGATCATAATAGTATCAATTTAGGCCCACAATTTCTAACTGAAAGTCATTAAAATTTCAGTGTGCCACCCATTCACAGTATTGACTATAACTAGCCTGTGTATTTTCCAACTTGGCAGGTGAGCAGCAGAGGATGAAGCCTGATTTACATCTTTTTTTTTTTTTAAGATTTTATTTATGTATTTGACAGAGAGAGACAGTGAGAGAGGGAACACAAGCAGGGGGAGTGGGAGAGGGAGAAGCAGACTACCTGTGGAGCAGGGAGCCCAATGCGGGACTGGATCCCAGGACCCTGGAATCATGACCTGAGCTGAAGGCAGATGCTTAACAACCGAGCCACCCAGGCGCCCCCTGATTTACATCTTTGAGAGACTCTGGAGGTGGAACAGAGGTGGAGACAATGTCACAGAGATGAGCTCAGGGGCTGGTGTTATTTTGCCATTTCTCAATATCAGGACTGGATGGGAGAGCCTACTTGTATTAGGAGAAGAGAAGAGCAGTCCAGACTTGGCCTGGACAAAAATCTAAGCTTACAGAAGCTGACGGAATAGGAGGGAAAAGAAAAGCCAAGCTTCAAGAGAAGGGAAGTTTGGGTAGCTCCAGAATATACTAGATGTTGTGACCACTTCCCACTGCCAGTCCATATATTAAAAATACAGACATCCATAAACCAGCCACCACCTGTCCCCTAACTTCATATCCCCTCTAGAGCATTCATCTTGATCAGGCTCCAGATTCCACTGAACAAGCCCCAAGTGCAAAAGAACATGTGTCACTCTTGTGACTTTTTTGCCTTCGGGAAAAGTCCCTTCAAGAGGCAATGTACACAAATGTCTTGAGTAGAAAAAGCAGGGCCGTCTATGGAAGGTACTAGAATAGTAAAAGTGAGTTCTTTGCTTGGCCAAGATATAGATATAGATATAGATTTTTTTTTTTTAATCAAAGTGGGAATGTAAACTTTATTGCTTCCCGTAGGAAGACAACTGACAGGAGGTGAAGATTGGTGTTTAAAAGGAAATTGGCAGGGGCGCCTGGGTGGCTCAGTCCTTAAGCATCTGCCTTCGGCTCAGGTCATGATCCCAGGGTCCTGGGATCCCGTCCCACATCGGGCTCCCTGCTCGGCGGGAAGCCTGCTTCTCCCTCTCCCACTCTCCCTGCTTGTGTTCCCGCTCTCGCTGTCTCTCTCTCTCTGTTAAAAAATAAATTAAAAAATCTTTAAAATAAATAAATAAATAAATAAATAAAAGGAAATTGGCAAGAGAGTCAGGCAGATGTGGTTTGAACACGTCCCCAAAAGGATTAGGCTGTCACGAAAAGAAACACAAAATGGGAGAGGCAGGACTTTGGGATCCTAATCTAAGTTCCGCCTGTCTTGTTACTCGGGGTTTCATTCCATGGAGAAGAGAGGGAGGATCAGCAGAGTCTGAGACTGAGTGATGGTGCCAAGATCATAGCATACATTCCTCAAGTTATCACGCTCACCCCTCTCTTAATCATTGCAGGAAACTTTCCACCCAGCCTTCTCTTACAGTCAGTGGCAAAACTGCCACATAAAAGAGTAACATCTAATAGTTTTTCTAAAGATTAAAGATTTTCCTCCCTCTGCAGGGGCGATGGGGCATGAGGGTGTTGCATCAAAGAGCTGAATAACAACCTAATTTTCACCTATTACTAGTTCATGTGAAATAGCAAAATGGTCTCCACTTAAATACTTTTCACATACTACATTTTAAAACAGACATTGCTAGATGGGTTTATAATTTATGCTATTAACATTTTTAAAAGAAATAAACATGCTATAATTTCTACTTAAAATATTAAAGTAACATTTTTACATATTTAATTCTGGAGCTCCATTTTAATTGAGGTAAATTGGGAAGAAAAAAAAGAGGATAAGTAACACTAGAACACTGCCTTGGGTCTTCAGATTTGCTTTTCTCTAAATGGGAAAATAAGTTCAATCATACCTCTGTTTAAGAATAAGCATTTTCTCTAAATTCCCCCCAAACATCTTTATTATATTTTATGATCTTGGAAGGGTCTAGACTTCATTTAGAGAAAGGTGTAAGTAAAAGCTATTATTAGGATAAGTATCACTCTCTCTTTTTTTCTCTCTCCCCCATATAATGCACTGATTGCTATCAATATGCAGAATTAACAATGTTTTTAACAAATCTTAATTTTAGCATTCTGATACACAGTATTATAAATGTGCAGCCCAATTACAAAAACACCGCAACTTAGGAGTGGATAATATATACTACTTAGAAAACAGAGGTTTGGAATTCAGAATATATTTCCTCATGGAAGCAATGCTATATATAACCACAGGATCCCATGCCAAATTGTAAAAGCGATTTAAGCCATGATACGGCTAAACTATGGCATTAAAATATCTAAGTACAAATATTTCTTTTTTTTTTTTAAGTACAAATATTTCTAATAAACAGTGCTTTTAGAGTTCCACTTCTGGAATCTAGAAATACAGTATTCCTATCCTGTCTGTAATGGCAATAGTAGAAAGAAGAGAAGGGGAGAATGAGGCTATCTTGATTCCCAGACACTCTAATCCACAGAGAGTTTGTCAAGAAAAGAGAAAAGAAGGCTTGGCAAGAAAATAAATTCCTGATGGGGACATTTGTAAGTCAGACTTTCTAAGTCAGGGACAGATTAAAAAAACAAACAGGAAGCTCATATTTTTTCTACATAGAATGAGAACCATTGGGCAAAATGGCCATTTTTAGGGGCGCCTGGGTGGCTCAGTCGGTTAGGCGTCCAACTCTTGATTTCGGCTCAGGTCATGATCTCAGGGTTGTGAGATCGAGCCCTGCGATGGGCTCTGTGCTGAGCATGGAGCCTGCTTAAGATTCTCTCTCTCGCTCCCTCTCTGCCCCGCCCCCCACTCCACTTGAGCACACGCATACACACTCTCTCTTAAAAAAAAAAAAAAAAGACCATTTTTAGACCAACAACGAAAAAACCTGAAGAACAATTAAAAAGCCTAATAACAAGAACAGTGTGCACTTTTACAAAGCCTTGTAAAACTGGTTTTAAACCTTGGTCATACTGAAATATAAACAAATTGATCTTTTTTTTGAAATAGGATTATTGCAATAAAATACATTTCGAAGGGTGGTATAAAAACTCTTGTTTCAAACTACCTCCAAATGGTCATT